GCTGCTGCTGCTGCTGCTGCTACTGCTGCTGCTGCTACTACTGCTGCTGCTACTGCAGCTGCTACTGCAGCTGCGACTGGTACTGCTGCTGCTACTGCAGCTACAGCTGCCACTATTTCTGCTGCTCCTCTTACAGCAGCAGCAGCAGCAGCAGCAGCAGGATTTGCTGTTGGTGCGTGCAGCCGTCGTTCACGCCGCTGCGAGCGCCGCGGGACACGTGCGACTGGGCTGCGCAGCTGGACGGCAGCGCAGTGGTGCAGCAAGACCCGAAGCTGCAGGAGTTTGTGCCGCAGCTGCGGCAGCGCTTCCACACTTTGACGGAGACCTTGGGGGCCCTCGAGGGGGCCTTTGGTTCTCTGCAGGCCTTCGCCAGCGCCCACAGCCTCTTTGGCCTCCAGCGAGTGCATGCAGACGGGTGCGTGGGGCCCCACACGGGGGCCCCAGGGGCCCCCTCCCCTGACCCTTGCGGCCCCAGCTGGAGCCGCGGGCTCCCCGCGGGGCTGCATGCACGCATGCGTGCATGTGGAGCTGCATGCAGCGCCGCAGGCAGGCGGCAGGGCTGCATGGGGGCTGCAGGCCTGCGGCTGCACGTGCATGCAGTGCATGCATGCGCACGGGGCTGCATGCGCGCATGCGCGGGGCTGCTGCTGCGTGTGTCCTACGGCGCTGCAGAGTGTCCGGCTACACCTACAGAGAGTGGCTGCCGAACGCAAAGGCCGTCTTCCTCTTCGGGGACTTCAACAACTGGGACAGGACCTCTCACCCGCTGCACCGCGAGCGCTGGGGCGTCGCCCCCCACTTCTTCGAGGCCCCCCTGGGGGCCCTCAGGGGTACCAAGGCCGAGGGGCCCCCCGGAGCTGCCGAGGCCCACCTCAGCTCGGTCTGGTCCATTTTCATTCCAGACCTCCCAGACGGGACTCCCGCCCTGCGCCACCGGTAAGGCTTTTCGGGGAGCTTTCCTTTCTCCCAGCTAGCTGCCAGCTAGCTGCCGATTAGCTGCCAGCTAGCTGCCGGCTAGCTGCCAGCTAGCTGCCAGCTAGCTGGTGCCAGGGGCTGCGTAGCTCACACTCATATTTTTGGGGCTTCAGTTTTAGTCGGGGAGGATGGCTGGGAGCTGGCCGGGGCAGCTGCGCAGGCAGCCGCCCGCCAGCTAGGGCCAGCCAGCCAGCTAGCTAGCTAGCCAGCTACCCAGCCGTGTAGCTAGCTAGCTGACGCGGGTGCGCCCGGATGGCCGCAGCTAAAGCCCCGTGTGGGGCCGCTGGCCTGCGCATGCAGCTGCCGCCTGCGGGTGTTGATAGTGCCCAAAGAAGGGGAGCCCATCGACAGAGTGCCCAGCTGGTCTCGAGTGGTTTGGCGAAGTGAAGACTCTGGGCTATTCAACGCAGTGCTGTGGAACCCCCCGGAGGAGGTGGGCCCAGCATTTGTTTAATTTTATTTAATTGAAGCAGATCAAGCTATTAAATTATCTCATTTTTACATTTAATTCAATAGTAGAATCCTTTTTTAGACAATATTTTAAGAATGCGTCATCACGTGAAGGAAGACTGCTTATTTTGAACCCCCCCGGAGTGGGTGGGACCTGCTGGGGCCCTTCCGGGCGTGGGGGCCCCCGACTTTGCGCAAAGTTGCTCTTTTCTCTGCACTTTCCAGCTAGAAGGGACTTTGCTGCGGGCCCAGCACTGAGGACTGAGGGGCTGCAGCAGCGGGCATATTCCCTCTGTTGAGTTTTGTGTCTGTCGGGTGTGTGTGTCTTTTTCTGTGTGTCTTTGAGTACTGGGGAACTCTGGCTGCGGGGGCAAGGGGTGGGGTTGTTATGCCAAGCTGGCGAGGCCCGGGGCCCCACAGGAGCGCTCTTTGCGGGAAATTGCCACTTTTCTGCTGCTGCTGCGGCGCAGGAAAAGTACCATTTTCGCTTCCCCAGGCCCCGAGTGCCACCCGGTGTAGCCCCCGCCATTTACGAAGTCCACATTGGCAGCTCCAGCGGCGAAGAGGGCCGCGTGGGGAACTTCGTGGAGTTCACAGAAACTTTGCTGCCCCGCATCAAAAATCTGGGATACAACACGCTGCTGGTGGGCCAGCAGCGCCGCAGCTCGCTGCTGCTGCTGCTGCTGCTGCTGCTGTGGGGTGCCCTTGTAAAGGAGCTGGGGCTCACGGATTTCGTAGTGTTCGAGCTGCGCTGCAGTGGCTACTGTTCTCTCCTGGCGCTGCTTTCCCTGCAGCGCCTGCAGCTTGGGCGTGGTCAAGGGTTTAGGGTTTAGGGTTTAGGGTTTAGGGTTTGGGCGTGTGGGCAGCTGCTGGACGTGGTGGAGCACGCGGACTTTGCGAGTTTCGGGCTTTACGTGACGAACCACTTCGCAGTGAGCAGCAGGCTGGGCACAGTGGAGGAGTTCAAGGCGCTGGTGGACCGGGCGCATGCATTGGGGCTGCGGGTGCTGCTAAGTCTTTGCCACGCGCACTCTTCGAAGAACGTAATGGATGGCCTGGGCTGCATGGACGGTGGTGACAACAACTACTTCGTGAGCGGCCCTTCGGGAGTTGTTGAGGAGGCCAAAGTCTTCGACTTGTCCAAAATGGAAGTTGTCCGTTTCTTGCTTTCAAACATCTCTTACTGGATAACGGAGTTTCAGTGCGTCTAAAGCCATTTTCTCTCTTTTCCCCATTTCCCCCTGCTGCATACACACTGCTGCAGCTCGCCAGCTGGGTCCCCCAGCTCTTGCACTCTAGAATGCTTCTGGGGGCCCCACAAGGCTCTCTGTGCAGCATTTGTAGTTCTAGAGTTTG